AAAGAGTTTGAACTTTACTCAATAGGCAATAGGAAGTCACTGAAGATTTTTGAGCTGAGGACTGGCATGACCAGATCTATGAGAAAGGTTATTCTGGCAGTGGTATGAAAGATGGGTTTAAAGGAATAAGTAATGGGGATGGGAATCAAGAAGTCAACTAGTTCACACTTTATATGTGTCAAATACTGTTGTAATCCCTGGAGATAAAAATACAGAGAATGAAATAATTCCTATTCAGAAGTGGTTGGGATAGTCAAGAAAGGCTTCATGAAAAAGATGGATGATGCATGAGAGGAGCCTTAAAGGAAGACAGAAGTGAAGACAGAGTGCATTCCAGGAATGTGGGATGGCCAATACAAAGGCATTGAGACTGGAGATGGCATCCCCTGTCGGAGGAACAGAAAGAAGGCCAATTTGGCTAGCTCACATAGGGAGGGATGAAAGGTAATGTCCAATGAGGCTAGAGAGGTTGGTGCCTGGTTGTATAGGGCTTTAAAAGCAAAACAGAGGAGTTAATATTTTATATTAGAATCAAAGGAAGCCACTGTGATTAATGGAGGAGGGAAATCACAAGGTCAGAGCAGTCAATGGACAGATCTGCATCTAAGGAAGACCCACTAGGATTGCTTATTAACAAACAGGTACCAAGGAGGACCAATACTTGAGTGGTGGCAATGAGAGTAGAGAATTGGAGACTCATTCAAGAGAGAAATGGAACTTACCACTTTTTCAATTTTTAAACAAGATAGTAAAATGCATATATTATTAAATATTATTAATTAATCAATAGTATTAATATATTATACATAAAATATGTTATTAAATATTAAATATATTAGAGACTGGTTTTATAAATAGTACCTGTTCCTGACAGAAAGTTGATTTGAATTGGTTATTTTTACTTGATTAATAGTTGTTTTATTATATAATTATTTTTAAGTATTATTATAATTATTTTAAGTAGTAAAATCACAGATCACATAATAGCTATTATATCAATTCATATAATAATTACCATGTGGTACTCCTTTGAATCATAATTTAATAAAAAAAATAGATTCAATACACAGCTGTATTTGAATGGAAATTCTGCTTTGATCTAAGAATGCATTTTTCCTAATTCCTACAAATTGTTATAGGGAAAGAGTTTATGAAATTATTTCTGGCTCTGAAAAGTTTCATGAGCACATAATACTTGAGAATAATTAGAGATTTACAAATTTAAAAAAGGAACATCTCTCATATAAACCAACTTCTTGTCCTCTGACACTTTCACCACCCTGGGGCAAGCCCTCATCATCTCCACCTGGCCTACCTTTGTAAATTAGGGGCACATAACTACAGCAGTTGGATGCTCCCTGAGTTACAGAAATTCAAAAATGTGGAGATTTGATCAGTTTCTCCTCCCTATTTTAATTCGTTCATTTGAGGCCAAATGCCTCTGCAAATGGGTGAATATGTGGAATCCTTATATATACACAAAGGGACATAAAAGGAAATACCCAACACTTATGTGTCCAAAGGTTCCTTATTTAAGAATATCTTTTACAGCTGGTTAGCAAGAGGAATGGGATGCTGCAGGATTCTAAAACCATATTCACACTGGGGTGATGATGTAGCAACTCCCCAGATTCAGTTCATGTCGCAATTCCTCCAAGAATATGGTTTTGCAGATTTTGCTGAAGTGTGTTAGAAATTCTCTCTCCTGTTGGGGGTTCCAGGATGGCAATTGGTAAAGTAAGGTGTCATCTCCTCCCTCCAGTTCCGAATCTATCCTTTAGGTTATATGAGTTCAATAATTGGGTGAGGGGCATTAACATATGAGACTGAGACATTCTTTGAATTACTCAACATTTGCTAACAAGAGAGATGCAGTGCCCAGGTGCTATGGGGCTGTGTGACCCCATTCTATATATTATTTAGATTATCTATTATGTTGTTATTGGATGAAGAGTGAAAAGAGCTCAGCTGGTTCTTTGAGTGAAAGCAAAAATGTAAGGGATAATTAACACTTAGTGTTAATATTCCAAATGGCTGGAAAGTGCCAAGAAAATGACCTTAGATTGTTCTCTCAAGAGAGTCATCAAAGGCCTTACAGAGGTCTTTAGGGTTCCCCCTATCCTGTTTTGGTCTTCTACATATGAAATACTAATTCAGATTCCACAGGACAGATAGGAAAAAATCTCCTGATATACCACAATTCTAATGGGAATAAAGAGCCTCATTTTTTAATTTAGCTATGTATAAAAGTATGCATGCATATATATTCTATAGCAAACATTATTGGTCCATTTATAGCCCTCAGAATATGGAAAGATAGCATTTGCACTCACAAAATTCTAAGATGAAACACGAAATCCTTATAAGCATAATAAAGGGGGGGGGTTATAGAAATAAGAGACCAGATATTACAGAAAGCATTTCAGAAATTAAAGTTTTATAATCTCTGACACACTGAGTTTTTAAGATTCCTGTGCCTCAGTTTCTTCTTCTGTAAAATGAAGGGGTTGAACTCTGTGACCTTTAAGGTCCATTTCAACTCTAGATCTCTGATGCTAAGTACTGGATACCTGAGTTGTGTGGTTGAGACTGGAAGCTCCGGATGTTTAGTAAAAAAAACAAAACAAAACGTAAGAATTGAGGAAGGTAGTTTATTTTACAGTATTTTCAATAGACTAGATTCATTTATTTCTACTTAGTGATGAGAATTTAGATTCAGGCCCCAAAGCCAAGTACGGCAAAAGGGCCCCCTTTCAATCTTTTCCCTCCAAAGAATACAGACTTCAACTGTAAACTCTGGTGGAGAGAAGGTTCTGAAATATTACAGAAGTCTATTATAGGCCTATTGTAGCATTAACTTACATTGAAATAGCAATTCCCTGAATAATGTCCTGACAGTCTGAAGGAGTTAATGCAGCTTTCAAAGGAGCCTAACTTGCAGAATGAGAGTAGCTTAGACACTGTGAAGATTTGGCTCAGTAGCACCTGTGAAACATGAGCTCAGATTAAATGTCCCTTAAATCAATACACTTGGGACCTGACAGCTAGCATAAAATCTGATTCAGTTCTGTAATGTGGAGCTCAGAGCTCAGAGACCTCTGGTCCCCACAGTATTTTTAATACTATAGGGAGAGCCATAATAGCCTTATCGTAGTGAAAACACAAATGCTCCAATTAATGCAGGAGTTTATGACACCCTGGTTTCATTCTGCTCACTTTCATAGTACAGGAGAATCCATCCTACAGTCTCCTGATGCTGAAGTCATCCACTTTCCCTCCCCAGCCCCTGCTTTATTTTTCCTTCAAACTTCTGGATTCTTTTCTTTCTAAATTAGTCCTCTTTTATTATTTTCACCTTTAGCATCTGTCCTAACCTTGTGACATGCATCTGTGTGGCCACAAAAATAAAACCCAGCACAGCAAAACTGGTCAATGTGTCTGATCACCTGTGATCAAGTCATAGTGTAAAAAGCATTGAGCTCAGAATTAAGAGGCTGACGTCCAAGTCTCAGCTTTGACTCTTGCTCATTTCATGACTATGATACAAGTTGCCAACTTTTTGAGCCACAGTTCCAACATCTGTAGAATGGGGCTAATAATACTTGAGCTATCTGATTCACAGGATTGTAACCTTAGGCAAGTGACTTAACTTCTCTGAGTCTCAGTTTGCTAATCTGTAAAAATTAGGTTAATAATTCATGTACTACCTGCTTCATAGGTTATTGTGAGAAAGACACTTAATAAACCTAAAAATGCTGTAGAAATGTGAACTGTTGTTTTAAACACCATGTCAACATTCAGTGTTGATGAGGTCATAGTCAGTCCAGGTGCAGACATGAGACCAGTGGTAAAGGCTGGCTATGTTAAACCCCACCTACCAATTTGAGTGTGGACATTTTTTAAAATCTAGTTCTCTCTAACTCACCAAGGCTGCAAGTGCAATGGGCATTCATGGGCCTGGTCCACTCTGATCAAGAAGTAAGCTTTGACCTGCTCCATTTCTAACCTGGGCCAGTTCACCCCTCTTTAGGCAGATTGATGGTCTTTCAAATCCTGGAGGCTCACCATGTTGGTGCCAGACTTGATTAGGTCTCGTGGTCACTTAGCTTTGTGATAGCTTAGAATTCTCCAACTCAAGTAATCAACTAGACTCTGCAGTAGTAGGGCCTATAGGCATGCCCCACCAATCCCTGCTGGCTGCAGACATTCTGACAAGCCAGCTAGAGATACAGATTTTATCTTCTCCCACTTTCTCTTCATTGACTTATATGATTTGTCTCCACATTAGCTCATTTTCCTCTTCTAGGCGGGTTGCAAAGATAAGAAGAGCAGTGCCATACAACACATAAGCAGTCAGTTTTTTGCAACTAAAATTAGCCTCATTTATTTCAGTTGAAACTATAATTAGATCCTCTTCTTTGAGGCCGTCTCCTGAATCCATAAAAATTATGGTTTGATAAAAATCAGAATCTATTAAAATTTAGCCCAGAAAACTGGTGTCTCAAGAAGTAATAGGCACTTAAACTTAATTTTAAAAAAATTATCTTCAGCAACAATTAAATCCTATGGAATCATTTTCCTTACCTTACCTATCTACAGGGAAAGGAAAGAAGCATTTATTAAGTTCTTGCTGTGTGCGAGGCACTATGCTAAGGGTTTTATAAGCGTTATCTCATTTAATCCTCACAATAACCTTAGGAGGTAGGTGCTATTATTATCCCTGTTTTACAGTTGAGGAAACTGAGGCAAATAGCATATGAGTGACTTGCCCAGGATTACACATCAAGGAAGTGTTTGAGACTGGATTTGAACTCGAATTTCTGATTCCAGGACCAATTTACCACTTAGCTGCCCCATTATCTGTAGCTGATAATATCAAGCCTGTATGATTACTACCATTGCTATTTCTCATAACTGTCCTTCTAAAGACTTGTTTTCTTGTTTCTTTTAGCACTTTCCTATGCAGAATAAATGGTAATTAAAATGTGCAGGATGACAAGATGGAGCAAACAGTGCTTGTACCACCGGGACCTGACAGCTTCAACTACTTCACCAGAGAGTCTCTTGCAGCTATTGAACAACGCATTGCAGAAGAGAAAGCTAAGAATCCAAAACCAGACAAGAAGGATGACGATGAAAACGGCCCAAAGCCAAATAGTGACTTGGAAGCTGGAAAGTCCCTTCCATTTATTTATGGAGACATTCCACCTGGAATGGTGTCTGAGCCCTTGGAGGACCTGGACCCATATTATATCAATAAAAAAGTGAGTGCTTATTCTGAGATTACTAGCACATTGCATACTTGGGATTGTTAAAGCAACAACACATCAGCGTGTTATTGCCATGACAACCATAGTATGTTGCTGCTTAAGAAATGACACATGTTGGCATATTCATTAACAGTAGATAGGATTTATAGGGAAGGATGGAACTCTCCAAAATGCATTATGATGGATGCATAAAATAAATATATAAAAAAATGTGCTGCTTCAAACAGCAGGCAACATAGCATATTAGGAATTCTCCCAACAGTGTAGTTCCTCTATGATTATCTGATATATTTTCTGTGTGCACAAATTGCAAGTTATAGGTATTTTTAATAAATGTTAGTGTTATTTAGTTCTCAGCCTAAGACCTAGAGGGTTCTTCATTGTAATCACATTACTTCAGCACTTCAAGGGATCCATGATTTCATTTACGTGGGTAGCTTCTCTGCTAATACAGGTTACATCCCCTTCTCACTTTAGTGAATAAGTTAATGAGTTTCTGTGGCTAAAAGACAGTCATGATGTGCTGGCTCCACATTGAGTGACGATCCTCTTAAATTGGGCTTGATTGGTTCTCAGATGACAGCGTATCCACAGACCCACAATAAAGTCTTCCTGTCTTGGTAGGACTCCCAAAAGCTTGCACCTCATTGGAAAAACCCTTGAGAACTCAGTGTCACCCCCAACTATAATATGGAAGAGACAGTGAAGTAGGACATGAAGTTATATTGCATATAATCCACAAATTAGAAGATTTCCTTCTTTTTCCCAGAGAAGCCTTATTTTACTTGACAGAATTCATACCTATCTACAAAACACACATCCCTCAATCACAGAATGAACCTTCATGTACTCAAATGAAATGTCTGAAGGTGAAACCAAAAGATGGCTATAGTCTCTTTTCATTTATTGTTCTCAAGTAAATTGATTAATCAAACTAAGTTTTTGCTTTTTGTTTGTTTAGACCTGTGATTGCATTGGTATGGGTAGTTACCAATAAATAAGCTCTTTCTCCAGTGGAGATGAGCAAGCCTTTCACAACTCAGTCTCGGAATAGCCTAGAGCAGTGAGTAGTTAAGTAACTTGCTTAGGATCACAGAGCCAGTACGAATCAGAAGTAGGACCAAAACTCAGACAGGTTTTTTTCTTACTCAAAAGCTAGCCTTGACTCAATTGCATTCTGCTGCTCCTCAATCACATAGTCTTAGTAAATTTATTTATTTTTATGGTCTTTCATAAGGCATAGGACAGAGTAAGCAGTTATAAGCTACAAGTACAAGAGAGCAAATTAATTAATTAAGCAAATGAGGTTTTTCAATTGTCGTCCACTCATGCCTTAAACTGCTTGTTTTACACCCCAACCCATGTCATGCATTGAAGAAACTCCTGCAAACAGAGCCAAGTTATTGCTTTGGGTCTGTATCTTTTGAGGTCATTATGACTCTAGTACCTCAGGAATTTAAGAGCTAACATCTCACTCACATTCAATTGGTAACTTTACCGAATACAAATATAGAATCATACAGAATCAGGACTGAACACTAGTTTAAATCAAGTACTTTTTTTTTTGCCTTGAAGATTTTGCAATCAAGTAAAGGGATGATCATTGTCTGTAGTTTTTTATTTCTCTATTTGCATGTTTGTAGTCTATTACTTTGCCATCAAGTCATGGTAGTTAAGAGCTTATCAATTTTATGACTCTACTCTTTTAGTAACTAGTATAGATATCTAATTTTATCATTAAAATTAATTTTTAGCAGTAAAGTTAATGTGACCTCTAAAACCCCAAAGTCCAAGCAATGTAAGTAGAGTTTTATGGGTATTAGGTCCTAGGAATAGTTAGAACTCAATATTAAATAATTAAATTCTGAACAATTAATTTTTTTAAAAAAAATTTTAATTATTTAAATGCAGATTTAGATATTTCAGACATATTCTCTATATATTTTCAGAAACCAGCTGTTCACTTTGTGTACTATGTTTTGTAATGAAAGTACATTAGTTGTCTTTGTGGTTTGTGAGGCCCTTCCTTTTTCTCCAGCCCCCTGCTACTTAAGAATCCCTGTTTCAGACCAATACAGTAGGGTAAACATCATCCCTTCATTATTCACTACAAACAAGCTTGGACTCTCCAGTATTCCAATATTTCACTGTATCTTTGTCATTAATGGGGTACTCCCTCCAACAGGAGGACATGGAATCCATCTATGACTACCCTACCTATGTAACCATTGTCCATATCCTTCTATAAATCCTTGTCAGGAATGTCACCCAATAGCCTAGGAGCCTTCCTCATATTTTCTTACCATGGAATGGATACTAGTGGAGCAATTGGTCCATTCACCACTTATTCCTCACTTTTGCTACGTGACTTGCCTCAACTAGCTAAAAAAATTAGAACCAGCGTTGCCCAAAACAGCAGAAGAAAATTGGCACTCAGCCTATGTACTGTTTCCAAGATTATATAACAACAAATTAACACTTAGGAATGAACAAATTCATTCTTGTGGATAATTTAGAAACTAAATTCACTCCATGAAATATTCCTTTTAAGGAACTTTTTCAGGTGGATATATGTTGCTGTACTGAGAGGGAATACTCAGTGAGATGGATATGGCAATAGAGAGACTTAAAAGCCCTGAAGAAAGTTTCAGACTTTCCAGAATGTTTAAAATAAGGATTTTAAGATCGTTTGGCTATCCAGCCTGATTCTGGTGCTGGAACTTTTCCTGCATTAGATTAGCATCATTTCTTCAATTCCCTCTAGTTTTGTCTATAGGTACACACTTTGTGAGCAATTAATAAAAACCAGGAAAATAGTTGATCAAAATAATAGAGGAAATATGTTTAGAAATATGTAATTATGATGTTGATATATTTTGCATCTTAAAATCCTTATGTAACTAGAATGAATACACAGCTCATCTAAAATACAAGAATATACCTATGATTCATGTAGGTAAGTTTATGTGATATCGCTAAATAAAGTTAACATTTGCATCTTCTTCCTATAACATTTTCACCTAGGATAATATTCCTTGAATTTTTATTTGCCAATCTCTATGTCACTCTTGGGTTGTTTTACAAATGGAGTTATTTCATTACCAAAAAAAACTACCTTAAATGCTCAAATTATTTGTTCTTATTAAAGTTGGAATCTTGACAGTATCTCAACCTTTAGAAGTTAATTGTATTTTATTTTTTGATGAGTAATGTCTTTTGGGTGATGAGTATCTGAAATTGGCTGCATGCTTTTTTATTAAAACCAAGCAGTAGGCACAGATTGTCCTTCAGGCTTTTCATCACCTGTTTAGCTGAAGGGTAAAAATGGTGGAGCTTAGGACCAACGAAAATGATACTGTTTCTGATGTTCTTAGCTAGTGCTGACATTAGGGGGAATCATCTTCGGAGTGAGGGAGGCGGAACTGGGACCAAAGGGACACAGTTCTGTATAAGTATCAGGGATGCTGTGTTGCTTTCTCCAAGACCACAGTGCTAAAATGAATAATGTGTCATTGACGTCATCACATTGAGTTGGACTCATTCCTGATAATATTCTGAATGAGAAAAAGTAGCTGTATCCTAGACATCATTGCAGAATTCAACATGTGTTGTCTGAGGATAAAGTATACTTTGTAGCTGAGGAATTTAAAGGATGGGATAAACACAAATCACACTGGAATGTTTGTGATGTTCCACAATTTGTCAGTGAGTTTACGAATAGATTACTACTGCCAGTATATAACATGTGCCTGTCTCTTTTTAACTTGTGCAAATTATGCGTTTCACCCCCAAAAAATATCATTACCATTGCTAAAATGGGTTAAGCCACCTTCGGTGAGACCGCAATGATGCCTGGACTTGGTAGAGATTTTTTTTCTTGCACATTCTTACCAGAAGGAAACCTGGGAACCTACCTGATCCACAAAGGGTTTAGGATTTGAAAAGCACAAAGTAAGAACAATGGCATAAAATAAGGGCCCGAAGGCAGTGATACCAAAAAAGGATTCTATGCCCTGTTAGAATTAATCCAGAGATACTTAGAACTTAGTGTTAAACTACATTTTCTTTTATGCTAAGTAGGACACATTTTAGCTGGTGAAAATGTTTTTTCTAGTGGCATAGCTCTCTTGTGATTGAAAATTTGATTTTGTTAACTTTTGATTTTCAGTGAATTTCTTCACCTGCTTCTGTTTGTTAGAAAAGTTTCTTTTTTTCCTGTCTTTTCATATACTTCTGGAAATTATAGATGAAGCATTAATTCCATGAAAGGAAATAGATTTTCATAATATATCATTTTATGAGGAAGAGAATAAGATGCCTGAAGTCTACAATTTCTTTAAAATGAGCAAGGTTGTAATAATATTTAGAAAATTTCCCATACATAATAAATTATATTATTCTCTTTGTTGTAGGGTAAATGGTTTTCCATAGTGTTTTATATAAACATCTTTTTTTTGGCCTTTTTATCAGTGAATTTGCAGAGGTGTACGTTTCATATTTAACTGTAGGTAGAGGAAAAACAGTACAACCAGACAGACTTTTTAAAGTGAATTCAAAGTAGCAATTCTGCCATGCTGCTTCTTGTAGTTCAATTTTCATTCCCATTAGGATTTCAATAGCTTCTTGTATTATTTTTTATTCTTCCCTTGAGAAAATTATTTAATGAAGCAGGAAAAGAACATAACAAGGGGCTCCATCCAAGATCAGATAAGGAAGGGATGAGCAGGTTTTCCTATCTTCCAGTGACTGTTCTTTTATTGCCTCATTAGGGTTCCAGGTTTTCCTAGACTGTTTGGGCAACTGAACATATTGTGCCTAATTCTCATTTTGGAGATGTTTAAGAGGTCACAGGGATCAAAGAAAGTGTCTCATACTTCATCTTGTTGTTGGTAACATGACGAAGTAATTTTATTACCACAGAAAATTCTAAGGAAGAAAATCCACTCCTTGAAATCCCACAACTATGGGAAACTCCAAAAGAATACAATTGTTAG